CTCATAAATGGGTGCCTCGAATATGCAGCACTCCGAAAAATTATATAATTCGGGTACATACATATATACATATAGCGGTTCGGAAGGAAGTACAGGAATTTCCGACTAGAGCAATCAAAATAAAAGAAGTTTTTTTCTGATTATTTAAAATATAATATTCTATTACTCTCAACTCTTTTTAAAAGTCTATCTAATATGACTCAGAGACGTCCTTATTTCGTTCGAACAACGAAAATACCACAAAGAGTGAGAAGTTGAAACTTAAATAGTTTCGTGATATTATTTTTTATATTTAACTTTAACGTACATACATACATGTAAAGAAACATATTCTGGTTTTCAGTTGAATAAATAAATAAATAATGTAGCCTTCAAGTTGACTCATATTTACATTAGAAACATTTGTACATACATATGTATGTATGTAAACACGAAGTTAGAAAACAAAAATAAAAAAATCACCAGACAAAATTTAAATTTTGTGTATACAAAATAAGGCTAAAAAAAGTAAGAAAAAATAACTGAAAGTGAGTATGACGTATGCATACACTTACATGGATATCTAATACCGATCTTATTGCGTTACTAACTATTTCAGCTGCATGCACTGTAGGGTGCATAGAATTTCGTCATATGCTGCAATTGAATTTTACCTTAATGAGTTGAGGTCTTCGTCGGTGTTACTCTTGATTAGATAGTGATGACTTGTGATTTTTTGTCGTACAACAACAATAATTACATTAACAAGCCGCATAGTGCAAATCATCTCATAAGTCTGTACAAACGTATGCATATGTTTTGTATATATGTACAAATGTACTATATGCCTCGCTATTTGCTTGGCTATATTTATTTACTTACAAAGGTACATAATATGTATACTAATAGATAAATATGTAGATGTTCATATGTATATAAAGTGTTCTATAATTAGTTGTGCCACTTTTTGTTGTTGCTTGGATACATGGAAATACATATGTATGTATGTATGTAATAAAGAATTTAGTGAAATTTATCAAAGTATATTCTAATGCCATACGAGGGTCTATTTATGTGTCCACGAGTACAACGATTCCAAAATATGTGAGCGCGTCGAGTTTCTTGGTGGAAGCGGGAATATTTGTTTTTTTTTTTTATTCTATTTCTTATTATTATGTATAAAATAAAATATATAACATTTTGAAAATTTTCTTGAATTTACCTTGAACTACAATTTTGAAAAACTGCTTTTGTTAGAGCTGAAATTTTATGCATTTTACAAACAACTGGTTTCTAAGTTCTCAAATATCAAAAAAACGTTAACTTCTAGGGTTTAATACCCTTCAGCTATTCATGTTTAAAGCTTCACTTGACTCGAAATGTTTTGCCCGCTCGTTCGTTTGCATTTGCTGAATAACCAGAAGTCACACAGTTGACAGTTTGGCTGATCAGAAGAAATTGGGAGTGCACCACACCTCGATCATCGAAAAAAACTGTAACATAACCTTTTTTTTGTTTTTTTGACCTGTTTTGACGTGTTTTTTCGGCTTCGGAAAGCATAGATCCCAGACTCAAAGCCAGTAATAACACGCTTCATGACATCATATTAGTAGGAAAGCATTCTTTCACAGACGTTAACACGACGCTGTTTTTTGTGCTTTCAACTTTTTTAGATCGAAATGATCTTTCGATATGGCTTTTACTGATCCTTCCGATACTCCAACGATGCCAGTAAGATCTAAGCACCAATCTCCTTTATTGACGTGTTGATCACCAGTTGATGTTGATTTGTCATCCTGGACGTGGTTCGTCGTTCTTTGAATAATTTGTACCAATCAAAAACACTGGTTCGCGAGAAGGCCTTTTATAACATTCTGAATTTTTCGACACCTGAAATTGGATTCTGCATATTTATATGTTTCGGATTTCTAAGACTAAATTAAGCTGACTCCTGTTTATAAAGCATTCTGATAGTCTATAGTACATCCATACTAATGTAGATAAAGTGTTATTTCCTAATTTTGTAGAAATATTCCGCGATATTGGAGGAACGCGGAAGTAAAAATTTCTCGGTAAAGGCATCTAAATCAAGTAGGAAATCTTATTTGCATATTTGTTTTCACAAATATATATTTATATGTAGTCGTCATGCGTATCTCCTTTAACAGAGGCATTGAGAATTTATCTATTTTGTGTGGCATTCGGTCGACTAGATCGGCCCAAGTTTTCCACATGTCGTATAGTGAGGACAGATCAAAGTCGGGGTGCAGTAAAATTCACTTGATTTACCACTCTTCTTCATACTCTCCTTTTTTTGTTTATACTATTTTTACAATTAAAATATCTCTTTGACTACTTGGGATTTCGAGTAAAGTCCTCTGCTATATCCAGAACTGCAGCTAAAGAATTTGTAATTTGTAATAAATGTGTATTTTTTAATTTTCCAAATACATATTTTTAATAAAAACAATCGAATTTGCATGAAGTTGTCCAACTGTCATTGTCCTATTGTTACTTTTGCTATCTTTTTATTTCTGCTAAGCGCAATCTAATCACATAAAGAAGACTCTAGAATATTTCTATTAAACAATCCGGTAAGTACATATGTATGTATGTATGTATGTACCTATGTGCATAAGTACTTGTATGTATATACAAATGTACAGATGTGTATATTATTACTTACATATGTGATTCAAAAATTATCCAAGCACGTCATTAATTTAAATCGTTCATTAGTCATTTTCAATTGTGAAATTTGATCCTATTCACTTATACATACATACATTAGAGCGGGTGGTTTTTTATATAAAATCGCATATGCGTAAAATGGCTTTGAGACAGCGATTTTTAACGCGAACTTTAGCTTTTAGGCATTGCAGGGGTTACATGGGTTTCCTGGTGTAAAAAAAACAGAATTTTTTTCAACGATTTTTCTTTCATATAAAAATGAAATATTTTATTATAATTTTTTACATTTCAATACACTATTAACAAATAATTTCTGAAAATTTTGGAAAACTCGCCCTTTGCGATGCCATTATCGATGACCTCTTGGAAATAAGATGCGCCAGCGTTGGCAGGATAACACTCCTTACAGGATCATCTAATGTGAAAAAAACGTGTTTCAGTTAAAACCTTACCTTAGAACTTGGACGAAGGCGAAACAAACTGGAAATAGGATTCTTGGCAGACATTGTTACAAAAAATTTAAAAAAAAAACTGCGTCCAAGTCTTCAAGAATTGCATCTCAAAAATCATGAAGATCCGTTGATTAGTGTTCGAGAAATCTTGCCAACGGACTTTAAAAACACAGTTTCGAGAAAAAAGCGCTTAAAGACGGCGCACTTGGCCTAGCTAGCCTCGAGCGCACAAGTTACCAAAGCTGTATCTCCGAAACTATAAATTTAGGACAATATTCTAGAGGTGTTGTAGACAATAAAAAAATCGATTTTTTGAAACCCGTAAATCCATGTAACCTTAAGAGAATTTTTTCTACCGTTTCTGAGATATGCGTATGAAATTGAATACAATTTCAATTTGATCACATTAGTAGGTGCATTTTGATAATGTATTGACACCATTTTTGAGAATCGTTTAGATCGGATAACTTTATTATATGTCTCCTATTACAGATCTCCCATAAAACCCATTCTTTTTTTTATTTTCCGGTATCCTGCCTTTAATTAAAAGTTAGGAGCTCGTAATTTTGCAAAACTATTTTATAATACATACTTAATAATGGCGATCAACTATAGCATATATCTCCCATTCAACAAACTATACAGACTCTTATTCCCTTTGGCAAAGTTTCTTTGGCTCCCTATAAAGCAATCCACTCTATCATTCATATGTATGTATGGTAAGTACATACATTGCTTGTGTATGCACTGTAGGAAAATGTACAATTAAATTTTATCGGTGAAGGGCGAAAGTGCCATAGAAGATAAGGGTAATCTG